TAATATTTACTGGTTTGTTTTAAAGCATGTGTTTTACCTTATTGATAATATGCAGTATGTTATATCCAGTATATCAGAATGATGAAGTCTGATGCACTATTCATGTAATGGGACATAATTCAAACAGCAAAGTGACCTTATTCTTGATCATTCGTTTGCACTGCACTCACACTCAGCAGCTGTGGAGTGCAACCAAAGTGCATCACTGGGTGTTTCTCAATGTCGAGGAAAGCTGCTCCAGAGCCACTATTTCAAGGATACTACGTCATTGAGTGCCGCCGAAGGACTGTTCCAATGTCCAGGATACTTGGAATTCTACAGAGGCCGGCGTACTTCGTTGCGGGAAATTTCGAGGCTGCACATGTGTATCCTCCGCGGTCTTAAAATCCCCACAATGCTTTGCGCACGGACCACTTTCCAAAATCTTTGTCGGAAAATGTAAGGCGGGGCCTCTCATATGACGCACACCTCCTGCACACTTGCTAGCCTGTCCCATTCTTCGTTCTCCGAATGAAAGGAAGGGTTCTTGCCTCGCTTCTGAAGGAACTGACTCGGAGGGACATGTCCTACCAAGGAAGCCTCCTCGACATTGAGAAACACCCAGAGTTTACTATTAAACTAATTAGAACTTAAGAGGTTTAACAGCTGTAGAAACTGGTTGCCTTGCATACATTCAGCTCTAAAAAGCATCAGGAAATACTTTCAATGTTGAAGCCATAAATATTGAAATAAATAATGTCTCCTCTAACTGCTCACACCATGTTTATGTTACTGACCTTAGAGGAGTCATCATCATTGAGGGGTTACAAGATGCATATGAGGGTTTGCAACATGATAAACAGGGTGAGGAAGAAGCAAAGAAAAACATTCCCAAACGTAATGATGTTTTTTAACGAAATAAAAAAAAGCTTGTGTGTTAGAAATAGGGTGAATTCAATAATTTTAGCCTCTTATTGTGTGAATTGGACACTTGTATCTGTTGCTGCACCACACTGTGATTTAGTTAAACAGGCGTGCTTTAAGGATAATAGTAATGATAATGATTTATTAAAGTGCAACTAAATAGCGGTAAAGAGTTATCTTTTGTTTGGAGATTAAAACCTGTAACTATTTCCGATATGTACAGATATTTTTTTCTTAACATTTTAAAATGACGCTCCTTGTTCAGGACTGTTTTTCTTATAGTTGTTTTAGAAGTTATAAGCAATCATGTTGTTGTGAGAAACTTTGCAGACGGCATGATGTGCAAAACAGATGCCTGAGGAAAGCATCGGCTGCAAAAGGTCGAAATATCTTAAAGTATAAGTTATGTTGTTCTGATTTTTGAAACTATATTTTTTCTCCGTCTTGTTTAGAAGTCATGAACTCTACTGTAGCGCGTACATCTCTGCTGTCTACTGAATATACAAAGTGTTCTCAGTGGACCATATTCAGAATTTGTTCATTTATATTTGAAGCAAGCTGCCTTTTAATTAGAAAGTGGTAAATTGGAGAGTTATCAGCAATAAAGCCTAAGCTGACTAGTAATAGTCATGTGGTGGAAGAGTATTTCTGAATTAAGGCTCTTCATGCATAATTCCAGGAAAATGTATAGCATATTTTAATTATGTATTGCTATTTTCCAGACTTATAACCTACCAAACATGCATGACAGCTGATAGTAAATTACAATGTGTGCATGTGTTTGCACCCAATGAATGCCCAGTGTGTAGCAGGCAGGGGATAATATATACATGTAGTAGCTGTAAGTCGAGCTCCACACTTCTGTTGTAATGCTCGTCCAGTGACCGGCGAAACTCTGCAGAATGAGACAGATAGGGGGGTACGGACAGCGGCGGGGAGCTTGTCAAGACATGATGCATTGTGTACACAGTGGGAAATAGGTAGTCTTCATTTGAAAGTCAATTCCAAAGCTCAGACGTGCTCCAGGGAATTTAAAACCATGAGCCAAAGTTATGATGAAAATCCGTGACGGCCGGGAGTCCAGTGAAAACTTCCAGACTGTTCCTGCCTCCTGTGCTTTTCAGGCAACTAAATACAACTATTTACATACACTTACTCTCACACACACAACAACTTGTGCATATGCTTATAGATTACACTAGAGTTGCTGTCTGTTAAATTAAAGACCATTTACGCTAAGACATCTTACTTTTTTCTAAATATATCTGTATTTTGCTTTTTTATTAAGAAAACCTTACAAGTTGTTCCCTCAGTTTACTTTAAAAAGTGTGAATTAAAAAAAACCTACAAGTGTAACCCAGGGGGATATTATGTTCTGTGACAGTTGCATCATATTAGCTTGAAGTACAAATGTCCAAAACAAGGCTGCATTCACTGTTAGCACAAGTGCACTAGAAATTATAAATACATATCAGATATTATTTGGAGGTAGTGTTTGGATTTATAACAGATGATTTGATTCGGATGGACAGAAGATAGCCCAAGACTTTTTGGTAATAAAAAGCTGAGTTGAGTTAGCTAGTAGTAATATTTGCCATTGTGGTTTTGCCTTTGACAAACCTTTGCTCTTGCTTCTTTTCCATCTGTGTAGTTTGTTAATGTTCCAAAAAGCTCTATGAACTGTAATGGTTCACAAAATGAAAAGAAGCATTTGAGTCAATGACAAGAATATTAGATAACTAATGGCCACAAAAACTCTTTGTGAAGTCTTATGTGCAACAGAAACTATTTCATTGTCCATTGTTTAATCCACAGTAAAGACAGTTTTTGCTATTGGCTTCTGTTCTCTTTGAATAAAATACAGAAAAGTAGAGTTTGCTGTTTAGGAACTGAACCCAGAGCTCCGAGGAAGATTACAAATGAGTCTGTAGTAGAAGAAGAACTGTAAAGTTGTTTAAGTCGTGACTAATCATAATGAGTTAAATGCCTGGGAAGCTGTACTGTGTGGCACAGTAGAACTTCTTGGTCTCTAACACAGCATCCTGCAAAAGTTAGTCCATTAATAACACATTTAACTCTGGGACGCCGCAAAGAAGTTGATTGATTGCGCTTGCAGATATGGTAATGCACCTGGTGTGGCTCACAGTGTGTGTTAGCAGAGAAGTGGAGCAGCAGCAGCAGCAGCTGCAGGCAGGCTTCCTACCTGGATCCGGAGAGTTTAGAAATGCAGCATGAATATGATCACATTAAAAAGGCAATAAGGAAGAAGTTCAGTTCCCCATAGCCCAAAGCCACCATTATATGTCTGCAGGGGTTGGGCAGACTGTCGATCACTACCAGAGTTTTAACGATTACTTTGTCAGGTTCAAATGTCTTTTGAATTTCTAGGCTCATAATGTAGAAAAAAAACTCCCTTATCAAGTCATTTTCAATGCCTCCTGCCCACAACACAGGCAGCAATAGGAGTGAGGAACTGGTAGCCGAGACCTTTCATCTACAAAGGTTAAAGGCTTTTGATCTGAAGGAAGAAAGGCCAAAGACCACGGCTCAAAGCTTCTGTTGTGTTGCATATAAACTGTATATTTGTTTCTTTGTAGATGTTTCCTTTGAAAAAAAATGGGTTCTTATTAACTAGTTTGTTTCTCTCAGTTGTGCAAATGTGAGTTGAGTGTTTTATGTAAATTGAACAGGGCGAGCTGGATGTGTTGGTACAGCAGGTTGCCTTTGACAAAGAACATAGATTTTTAAATGTCAATGTTTCTGAAGGTTAAGTAAAATGTCTGGAAAAAAGACTATTGAATCTGGCAGACGATTACATTACGTACCCTGCTGTTAATGTGTGTTCCTTTTTAATTGAACGTATCATAACATAGGGTGAAAAGACCAAGTTCTTCATATCTTTTCTAGAAAAACCAAATAAAGAGATGGAATTTCATGAGAAGATGTGCAGGGATCTCCAGGTGTCAGGCAGCTCAGGAAGGCAATAAAAGTCACATAAAGTCAGAGGAATAAAGTTTTAATGTTCCCTCTTCGTCTGGCACATCACAGCGAAGTGCTGCTCTGCCGGCATGACCTCCTGACCCTCGAGCATGTGGGCCCACCGAGCTGCCACAACAGCCATTGTTGTCTGACTCAGGGTCACTCCAGAAGAACAAGAAAGCAGGGTCACCATCCTGCTGTCAGTCAATCTTCTGCTGCAGGATGACGAGCAGGCACTGGTGGTTTGACACGGCTTAGAAAGTACAGCTGGGTGTTAGCGTGTGAAAATCAACAAGTCAAGTTGAGTGAAAATTATTTATACAGCTCTTCCAACAAAGGGGGATTTTTGCGACAAAGAACTGAAGGCATAAATGCAGATAAAGACGCGGGATAAAAATAAGGGAGGAACAAACGCATTCCAGATTGTGACATTAAGCTTGTGTGCATGTGTTTGTGTATTGTCAGTGTGTGTTTACACCCTGCGTTAGGCAATATGAAAGCACTGACTAAAGCATATCCTCCATATGTGTACTGCATGTATACGTCTTCTCTGTGTATCTCTTGCTGTTTGTAGGACACAGAACATTCACTGGGCATGTTTTTTCCCCACAAACAACAAGAGTTGTTTAATTCATGTTGTGCAAAGGTCAAACTTTTTTTCTACAGCGCAATTAATTATTTAAAATGCACATTAGGGGTGAAGAATGAGTATTCTCTCTCCCTTTAGATACATATATTTGGGCTACATCTCCGTGAGGTTGGGAGGAAACCGTTTAAGATGTAATCTCACCGCTACATCACAGTTGATGACTTAGACACTCACACTAATTAATCCAAAGCCCTCACTCTAATTGCGTTAATATATTGGCTCTGTCTTCTTTATCTTGATTTTTTTTCATGACATCTACTTCCCGTTAATTGATTCAAAAGGAGATCCTAATCTTCTCGCAGAGAGTGGGGCACATATTGATAGCTTTAGTTTAAACCAGCGACAGTTTTGTGTTTCCCATTGTCTGCACTAATTACGGCCGACTTGATTCATTATCTGTGCCAACAGGTGTTGAACCTCCAGGGTTTCGGAGAAGAGCACTCACCTTTCCCGTTTGTTTTGTTGACAGGAAAAGCCCAATGAAGACAGCAGGATGGTGGTCGGCGGCAATTTTATTGTTGGGGCTCGCTGTGCTCGGCGCAGACGGGAGACCCAACAAGGAGGAATTCAGGTCGCCGCTCTATCGACCAGTCGTGAGATTCCGACACAAGGTATTGATCGCCGCCTTTTTTCTATTTGCTTTCCGTAACAAGAGGACTTTGTGCTTTTGCCAACTATGAAACTAATTACAGTGGCACTTTCTCCATCCATCAGATGACTCCCCCCGAGTTTGTTGTTGTTTTTCTGCCCACTGAAAAATACTCCATGAATCATTATCCTCCCTCTGTGCCAGGGGACTGTCTTTTCAAAGACACCATCGGATTTATACGAGCCACAGCTGGGCAGAACTAAAGACGGGCCCTGAATGATGTGAGGATGTTTGTATGAAACATGTAATGTATGTCATTTAAGCTGAATGTTGGAAGTACAAGATGAAGTTTAATCCTTATTGAGTCTGCGATAAAGGGTAGGCCCCAAAATCTATATCTGCTGCTCTTATCAAGCTACTTTTTTCCCTCTAACTAGTCTGTTTTTTTCTGAATCGGTTCCAGAACACCAGAGTGGGAGAGATGGATCAATTAGAGCTGGACTGGGTTATAAATTGACTGTTTTGGCAGCCCAAGACTTGAGGAAAGCAAAGTGTTTTGTCAAGAGGCATTAGTTGGATTGTCCTCCTTCAGTACACATTTCCCATAAGCCCCCTTTGCAACTCTGCCCACCAGTAAACACTTGTCCTCTTTACCCAATCCAAGACAAAATGTAGCAGCGACAATAAAGAAGATGTGTTGCGTTTGCTTATACTTCAAGGCTGTCTACTAACTTTTTAATTTCAGATTTGTTCTAGTCACGTCTGCACTAGAATGAAAGGCAGTGGCACTTTAAAGGGGACCTATCATGCAAAATGCACTTTTTGATGTCTTTTATACATAAACATGTGTCCCCGGTGTGTCAGGGAACTCACGCAGCATCAGAAAATAAAACCCTCTCTCTTTTCCTCCGTACCCAAATCTCTAAAAACGGGGCTACAACAGAGCTGATCCAGATTTGCGTCTGATATGACGTAATATCTGAAATGTAGGCTGGCTTTACACCCACGGCCCTATCAGAGAACGTTGCTATCAGAAACAATGCCCCGACTGTTTTGGACGTAATATGGTCGGTGCATGTTTACATTAGCCTCGCTAACACTCAGAGCTAACCTGTACTGGAGAGCATGTGTGTGAAGAAGCAGGAAATAAAAAGGAACTCACCTTGTGGTATAACTGGCAAGAGAGAAAGCCTTTGAGCTCCATACTGTTTCAGAAATAATCCTTGATAATCCATGATAAGGCGTTTCATTACCGCAGAATCTGCCGGTAGAATCTCCCGCATGAGCTCAGACCCCTCCTTTTTTTATCAATTTTTTTTTTTTTAAAGCTTATACCCCAAATCAGCACTTTTGAAACAGGAAGTGAAATAGAGGGATATGAGGCATGGCTAGAATGGGTGATCTGTTTGGTATTTTCAGCAAAACGCTTCATAGACATGTTTTTTATATATTTTTATATGTCTGAGACCTATGCTATTACCTAAAAATAGCATGATAGGTCCACTTTAAGGGAGGGTGATTTGAGAGATGGCGAGAAGGAGGTCGAGATGGAGAGTGATACAGAGGAAAACAGATGGGAGGAATGTCATTGGACCGTATCCGAGATGAGCGGGGGGCCGGGAGTGATGCAAAGCTGTCAAATCGACAAAATGGTCAACCGCGTTCTGACCTTTTGAACAAGATTTATTCCGAGAGTTGGCTCTTAACACTCAGACTGCAGCTATCCGCTATGCAAGAGTTCTGCTTCTTTCAAGCAAGAGCTAGTCTGGAAATAGTGTTTAGGGAGTGAAGAGATTTAAACTTCAATATCCAAGCATCCTGTAATATGATCTGCGGAGATAGCACATCTGTCAGAGTGGGATGCTTTATACCAAAGGGAAGGGGGAGGCAGACCATCCAAAGACCGCCTCTGCCTGGACAGTGTTGGATTTCTTAAAGGACCAGATAGCTGTTTTGTTTATTTAACCTTATCTCTATGTACAGCGTGGTGTTGTACCTTGCTTTTGTTATCACTTAGTACATCTACAGATCCTACATACCCTGGGCTCAGCAGAAGCAGAACAAGAGTCAGAATTTGTGTTAAAACATCCTTCCATAATTCCTTTCCTTTCAGTAGTTAAAACATTTTGGAAAACCAATTCTCAGAGCTTATCTCAGCGTTAGTTTAAAAGACATGGAGACACTCATCTTAGCTCTCCTGTGTTGACTTCAAAATGTGCATTTCACCCCCCCCCTGAAACCAGTCTTGCTTGTGCTTTAATCTTTCTCCCCCCCCAACACTATCCCTGCTTTCACATTATTCTCTGTACTGCGCTAAGAGTGTGCTTCTTATTGCATTGCCATGTCATTTGAATGAAGCTATACTCTATTTAAGTAGCTTTAGTTCGCCCAAAGGCACATTTAGAAGGAGGTGTTAATACCGCTGTACCTTCTTTATTAACCAATATATAATTTATCTCTTGTTGAAACTAACTAGCTTTGACTTTCTTTTCATTGGCCTGGTTTGGAAGCAAAGTGACTTTAATAATTAAAGTAATGTATGTCCACATTTAGCGGGGACTTGACGAGAGCTACAAAAGTGATGTATGTGCTTTTCCACTCTAATGAAAGTAATGTGCCAGGCGCTGTGATTACATGGCAGAGGAATGTCATTAACGCATCTGCATACTATTACAATTCATCCTGAGAGAGGACAGAGGTAAACTCCGCTCATCTCTCCGCCTGTCCAGAAACACTGTGGAAATTAAAAACCCTTTGGTGAGAAATGGCCACATTGCAGGCCATTTCTCCAAAATATGCATTTATTTTTGCTTCGAGGATTCTCATTTCTTAATTTTCGTCTAGATTTCATCGACGCAGTTGTTTCAAAAGGAGATATCCACAGATTGTAGAAGAGCAATAACAAGTTTTAAATGATGGCTTACGGCTCAGAAATAAAATGATATTGGTACTCACACTCTCAAGTTACAAACAAACAACAATTAAAGCTTCTTTGAAATTAAATGTGTATCAAAAACTGGACAAAATAGTGCAGAACAATAATACTTCTTCTAATCGATACATTTCCTTATCTGCACATACAGTAATACGTGCTGAATGTCCTTTACGCTCAGCGCCTAAAGCTGTGATACTGTGCCGTGCTTATGCTATGCGCTCTCCTTTGCTTTGAAGGACAGTGTTTGACAAGGGTAACAGGATCGGATACGACCTTTTATAGGCTTTCATCACAAAGACTTCAATCACCAGGAGGCATTCGGCCGTAAACAGCTGGTGACATGCTCTTCCCATAATTCCCATGGTATTGTTTCAGAAATTCAGTGTGAAATCCTCCACATGGGGTCAAGAATAGGACGCAGTTCCCAGCCACCATAATCCAGTTTTGATTATGTTTCATCATAACAGGAATGTAGATTATATTTGACACGGTCTTATTTCTCTGAAGCTGATGTGTAATCTGATCAAATGTGTGGAATAGTGGCAAGGCTTTCTCCACACGAGGGACGAAAGCAATTTCTGAGAGTTTGTCGCCCTGACATCAAGCTGTTATGTCAGGTCAAACAAAATGGAGGCAAGGACAACTGTGTGAAAAGCCCCATCCATCCAGGACTGGCTTGGCCACATGGCAAATCTAGATTAACAGGGGATAAGCAGAGAGAGAGAGAGAGAAAGAGAAAGAGAGAGAGAGAGAGAATGAGTGGGAGGGGGTAGGGCAAATGAGATTGAGATAAAGAGACAGGGTTCCAATTGAAGGAATAGCAGAAATAAATCATACAATTCAACATGGCTCGATGTACAGTAGCTTAAGTTAAATCTGCAAAGACAATGTGTTCCTCACATGTGACTTCTGTCAGTATTATAATCACCCTCCTCCTCCTCCTCAGCTGGTCAGCTTTACCCCCAACCCTTGTCACTCATTTTGATGAGCTGTCGACTTTCAAATGGCAGCCAGCCTGAGGCCGAGGTAACCAGCTTCTGTAAAGTCTCCACAGGGGCCGAGGAAGCAGACTCTGTATGGAGCCAATCTGATATAACAATAACAAGATGTCCATGCAGCCGTTAAACCTGGTGTGTTTTTCACAAGTCTGTTCAGCTGTGTGCATGTTCATTGGCTGGTGACTTTGTGTAGGTAATGCCAACAAGGAGGTTACGTTTTTGTGTATCTGGTTGTCAGCAGGATGTTGTAAAAACGACTGATTTCAATGAAACTTGGTAGAATGGTATAGCATGGGGACCAATAATATTTTAGATCGAATATGAGTCACGGGCGTATACAGAAAGGATTTTTCACGCTCGTTAACATGTGAGATGTCTGAGCTCTCAGTGCCCTCCTAGTTGTTATTGATATGATAAAATGCTGTCAATAATAAGGTCTGCATTGGTGTAGGATGGTTTCCACTGGTGAAGAAGGTGGATGGGTCGAAACTCCAATTGGATAGAGGATGATAAAGGGCAGACAAAAGAAAAGGAGAGGGTGTCTGCAGATTGGTATTTTTTTCTGATTGATGCAATGTTTTGACTTCCTCTGTATAACCACATCCACAGGAAGCCACACATCTTTTCTGACAAGGCACCTAAGCTGTTGTAAAATCACTGCAATACGGCCTCAATAGGCTAACATGCCTTAATAAAACCATTACTACACATACCTGGCAAGATCTCATAAAATAAACACACAGCAACAAGAAACTCAATCATTAATTGATAATAAGTGATCATTCTTTTGCCAAGCAATGTTATTCTTCAGCCACATAGCTAACTGGTTGCCAAGCAAAACACGGACGCGGTGGAGCTAACGTGATTTTTAAATCATGTTAGCTCTTTTCATGCTGGTTCAAAGGTTGTTGTATCTGGACAGGTGCAGGGCAGGCTCTCTGTTATTTCTAATAGGAGAAAAGAAAAAGGCAGTTAATATAACAATATATATATATATACCATCGTCAACTATACAGTAATTCTTACTACAACTCCAACAAAGCAAAATGAGACGGTAGTTCCCTGCTTCTCAAATATGAACCACTGTTTTTTCCCCTCACTTATTTCAGTTTCTTACTTTGTTTTGTAAATGTAATGACAGTTGTAGGGGCATACAACAAATGATGTCAATTAGACGCTTTTACCCAAAGCGACTTACATACACTCAATACTGTGGGCGATCCCCATTATCTGTTCACCTTTAAAAATGCAGACTTGAATAATGGCATAGCTTCTGAAATATAAGTTTTAAATCAAATTGCGAATCTAATCATACACATTTGATTTGGTGAATGTGAAAAAAATCCTATATAAAAGACACATTCACAACTTGCTGATTTGGAGTTGTAATGTCAATTCTACTCTCTTGTCACACAGGTATGAAGCAATTTGCAGTCATCCGTTTCAAGTTGAAGTGTACTTGGAAGTTGATGGTGTGGAGGAGTGAGGGAAGTGAGAACTGAAGCAGGCGAAGGAGAGGAAAAGGAGGGAGGGGTTGAGAGATAAAGCCAGAGAGAGAGAGAGAGAGAAGCGAGAGGAGAATGTGGGCGGTCAGCCAGCTAGCTGTGACAGGTGCAGATGAACCGCGGGTTGTACAGCTGGGTGCCTCCTCGTCCCCAGAGTCTCCGGGCAGCAGAGACAGGCCTGCCAGCTGCCCTGGGGAAATCATTCTCTTCAAACAAATGAAGTGTGAACACTCTCTGCCATATGCAAATAAGCACCATTTGATATCTTTTCTACCTGTACTGTTCTAAATGTCAAACCCTTCCGGAGGGCAGGGGGATTCGAAGAATGTCACACAGCCACAGGTGTTGTGTTTTTCTTTTAATTGTGCCTACTGGGTTGTTGGTCAACAGTGTTTTGTTTAATATCAAGAAAGATGATGTGATGTTTGTTTACTAGATCATGGCTTTCTTTTAGTTTCATAGATTTAGTTAGACTTTTTATCAACCTACTTTTAAATTAAAACACATAGTGAGTTCAAGGTTCAAGGTTCTTTATTGTCAAACTAACATAGCTACAGAGTAATTATGTCGTTGAAAATCTTAGGTCACAGGCTTCTCCAACAATGCAACATAATAATACAGATAGTAAAAGTAATACAAAAAGAAAAATAGTTCTAAAATAAAGTGGAATAGTGCAGTACGAGTCTATATACAAGTTATTGGAATGATATATATTAGATAGTAGATATATATTCCTAAGTAGCAGATGAATGTTATGAAATTGTTTCAGCAGTTCAATTGTTTAACAGTCTCACTGCCCGCGGGAAGAAACTGTTTTTGCCAGGATGCTGCGGTAACGTCTGCCAGACGGCAACAGAAAGAACAGTTTGTGGCTGTGGATCGTATAGCATGGCTTCACACATAGTTGTGGTCATTACTTTGTTTATTCCAAATATATATAATTACCAACATCATTTACTTTTAGTGCTGGCACAAAAAGTTGATAAATTGACGTATTTATTGACTGAAATCAATTACCGCAATCTATTTACTGTTAGTAAATGTATTATATTTGGACTGTTGATCAGAAGAAATGGCTCTTTGTATAGCTGATAGCTTTGTTCAATGACCCAATCTAATTTTGATTAGAAAGTAATGTTATATTATTTGCAAATATCAGCCCTAAATACTCGGTACAGTGTTAACTGTATAAGCAGGACGATATGGAGAAAATGGTACAGACAGTATCACTGACACAATATAACAAGCGAAGAAAAAAAAGGTGATTTAAATTAGTCTTGCAGTCAAGATTACATTTTAATGGATGAGATGTCTTGGGTGTAAAAATCCATACAATACTCTAAATGCATTGCATACTAACTTTTGTCAAATCAAGCTTATCGTATTGAGATAAATATTCAGTATTCACATTTTCTGTTCAGACCCAGGGATTGGGTAATCAGCTATTTTCAGTAGGCACGCAGGGACCGCTGTTCATATTGACTGTTGCATAATGCATCCACTTCATAACGGCATCTTGCTCGAGATAGTCAGAATTTTCTGAACAAGAACGAGAAGCATGAGCAATGCAGATTTCACTGTAGAGAAATCAAATATGAATGCCTCTTCCTTTCATATTCATGGTTCTGTGGGGAGCAGCTTCTCAGAATAGTCGTCCTTATAACCGCGTTTTTCACGACCGTAATCACTATGCATGCTCTAAATGCAGCTGATTTTATGGCGGTCCTTCTCAAAGGGTCATGGCTATTTGCTCTTCTTTATACGTCTCTATGCTATGAAATATATTTTTTACGAGTCAACTATTTCTTGTGTTTTGGGAACATTTTGAACTGCAAATATGATCAAATGGTGCAAGACTTTGAAAGCCATATATGGACATCCACTCAAATGCATACAAAAAATAATAACAGAATATAATAGCAGCAATAATGTTCGAGATCCTTACACTGCGAGTGAGATAAAATGTAACTTTTAATTTGTGTTGGAGAAAAGATGTTAAGAAATTATTAAATATCCTTGAATATATATAAATACTACATATACTGCCTTCAGCTGATCATTAAAAACTCATAATGAACCATCTTGCACCATATCCTGTATGTATGAATCAGGATACATATTAATGTTGAAATATTTCTTTACACAAAATATTTTGTTATTTTAATCATTTTATGCTGTTTTTCTGATTATTTTATATTTTGTATGCATTATGTAAAGCCTTTTAAAAGGGTTTGTGTATGTGCTCTACAAAGACCTGCCTTGCCTTAATCCTTAAAATACGAAAGAGGTGATGTGACAATGGGAAAGGTTTATCATTGTGTATGTAAGTGATGCAAATACCAGCTAATATAATGGCACGTTAATCTCCGATGTATGCGAGCATAAACTGCCATTCAAACAGACAACACTACAATGTGTCAGACAAGTTGTAGCATTCAGAGTGAGGTCATTGGATCTGAACGTCATGACTGCACAGACACGATCTCACTTGAACACTGAGCTGTTGAATACAATTTCTACGTTACAGCACCAAGGTTTTCCCCCTGTTTTAAATGAAAACATGTCGATGCTGTAATCCTGTGATTTTTTTTAATAACTGTTATCTCTTGTCCTTTTTTCTTTTTGTGCTTGTTCCTGTAGGATGGGATCCCTGAGAGCTTGAGGATAAAGGGTGAGTTTCCATTTCTCATTTCTTGCTCTTCTTTCTTCTCCTATGACATGCAATATACCCAACATGCATTGTACACAATAGAGGCTGGGTGTAGGGTTGGTGTCTGATGGAGGCCTAACCTGTTGAGCCGAGCCTGTTTTTCAGGTCTCAGGCTCGAAAATGACATTCCCAGAACAAATGACTATAACTTCACTTCTAAAAGGGTTACATTAATAATCTTTTTTCTCAAAGCAATGATAAACCTGTGAGTTGGATGTAGAAAAGTCAGAATCAATATAGAATTTTTTTATTTTAAAGTAAATTCAGATTGAACATAGTAAAAAAATGTAAATTATAGTTTACGTCCAAAAACAAAACATTACTTATAGTGAAAACCACCCTTGAATGATGGGATAGTAGACTAAACGCTTTAGGAATCCAAAGTACAACATATAATAAGTACCCTGTATCAAGATTGATGCAAAACAAGTGACATTTGACCTTTTTAGAGAGGTTTAAAAAAAAAAAACCACTTCTGGGGTCATTTGGGTGGATTTTCCATATCTTTGGCCCCCCTCGGTCGATTTTGATGATTGACACCTGTTTTTAACCGTTAGAGCCAATAGAATCAAGGGGAAGTTCCTAAATCCATCTAAACATTACCCATTGGTGAATGAGTGATGCGTAGCAAGAATGCCCCGGAACCGGAAGCTGTCATACTCCATAGTAGCTATCATAGCAGCTAATATGAAATCTCCGTTATTGAAATACAAATGGAATGATGGATTATCAGTAATCATTTCAAAGTGACACAGACACATTGGATTAACCATTGGATTAACACATCTGCTGTAGGATCCTTTGGACTACCCTTGATGTAAAGGATTTCATTTTTGTACATCAGAAAACACCTCATACAGAGCACCTTTAACTAAAATCTCCACTCTAGGAAATCCATTTGGAGCACAGCACTTTATCTTCTTCCCCCTCTGCCTCCATGTGAAGATCTCACAAGATAATCACATTTTGAAACACAAGTCAACCAACCATGCTCCGGGGCAAACATTTCCTATGGTGATTTATGCTGGTTTTCACTTACTAGGTTCTTCTAAATGCATAAAAAAAGCATTCATGTAGTTTCCCACAGTAACAATTACCAGCCACTGACGCGTGATATTTGTTGAGACATAGTTTAATGCCACAGTAATGTGTTGTACTGCAACATGTATGAGTAGTGAACAAGCTTGGACAGATTTCGAAAACCATCGCTGTGTTTTGGCCGTTAAACACGTCAGCATAAAAATCGTAAAATCTCTTCGACTTCAATGAGTATTTGTCTAACGGGCCTCGGAACAAGTTGAAGAGAGCGAGTAACGGCCCCTACACACGGCGGCGTGCGTTGAAGCTTGCCGGCGGGCATGTCTGACGCTCGACCAACAACCAATCACATGAATCTCCCGCCCCAGACACACAAGCAGCGGTTTGATTGGCTAGAGCTTGTATTGGCATATGATTCGATTGGCTGACGCCTCCGTCGAAGCTTCAAAAGTAGAACATTGCTCTACGCTTTGCTCCCACAATGCAGTTCGGCGAAGTGTGACGTCACCCCATTCAAAGTGAATGGGCAGAAGCGTTGAAGCTTCAACGCACGCCGCCGTGTGTAGGGGCCGTAAGGATGGGATCAGAGATAAACAATGTTTTTTTTTTTTAAATAAGCTCAAGGATATACTGTACACAATGTACCTTTGTATCAGTTTAGCAGCAGTGTAGTGGCAAACATTTATTCACATTTGATGGGAATGGAGGTTTTGTGCTTTAGTGTGTAAAGTACAACATACATTTTTGAATTAGTGCTTTGGTTTATCTTTGTAAATGCAAACCAGTAACTCATCATCATTAATACAACGTCGTTTTTGTTCATCTGCGTATACATACAATCTCCCCTCTAAAAGCTCACATCCAAACAAAAACAATTTGTGCCGTGAAGATACCATCAGAAACTCCTACTTAACTTTATACAATTTTGTTAGGAAACGTTAATTCGCTAAATACTAATACCTTGACTTCTGTCGATTTCTGTTTTTTGTACAAGATTAAACTGGTGCAATACAAACCGTCAGAAACAGCATTATCATTGACACATTCTGTAAAATTAAGGAATAGCCTACATCAGCCACCATTATCTATTGTCATTTAAAACAGTTACTTTAACATCATCAAAAGATGGATTCACCTATAATGAAGATAACCATCAGTAGCAGGTGTAGTTGGCACTATAATCCCAACCAGCCTTATGTTCCCGTGGCACAGGGCGGTGTGGAGGCATTAATGCGCTTCAGTCCTCTTGTTGTCTGAGGGATGCATCTCATCTGTCAACCTGCCACCTTTCTAATGTCTTCTCTGTCTCCTCTAAACAAGAGTCAATGTCAGGCAAAAGGTGATCCCTCTGCCCAACATGTCTGCCACTAAGTGTTCGAAAGGGCCGCTAAATGGACGTCTCCCCATCTTTCTTCACCAGGGAAGGTCGAAGCAGTAATTGTAGAGGGTGCATTACCATAAAGGGCGGCCCCAGCTGTCTGCTGTGATTCACTTTAATGCGCCATGTTCTGTAAGCCGAAAAAAGAAAAGAAGGGATATCTCACTTTGGCCAGTTTTCAGCAAACTAATTTCCAGGCCAGTTAACGAGAAGGAGAGCGAAGTGTAGAGAAAATCATAAATAATTCAAGCATCACCCCGTACATTGGAGGCTTCTCATTATTACACAACTGAGTTTTAGTGTTAACACTTCAATTTTACAAGCTACGTAACAATGTCGTTTTCAAATGGACATCAAGCTATACCGAAATTAGAGAAGACTATAATTTATTGCATTCTATTTCGATGTAAATTACTGCTTTATTTTATTGCTATCTTACTATATTTTTATTAGTGTTCTTAATATAGTTTGCTATCTGTGTACTTTTTTACATTTTATTATTTTATTTTTATGTTTGCACCATGACACCTAGTCAAATTCCTCGTACGTGTGAACCTACCTGGCAATAAACCCATTTCTGATTCTGATTCTGAAACAGCTGAGCTCAGTACAGTAATACAGTTAATTTGTACAAAAAAACTTGCGAACGAACTCCTAGTGCAGAAAAGGTAAGAATTAGGTCTTTGTTTCAAACTCCTGCAGAATAAATTCATGATATTTGTGGGCTACCTTCATGTCCATAACCTAAAAGCAATATCACAACTCTGTATGAACTATTGGCCTTCCTCAGACTTCTAACATACTTTGCTTCTTTAAATTCATAACCAGTTGACATCCTGTTTTATTTTAGGCTAGTTCATTCCCCTTCAATCTTGCTCTGTACTCGAAACACACATACACGTACACATGACTAAATATGTATATATGTTCATTTTAATTAATTTCTTATTTTATGTTTGATTTTATCCTTAATTGTATTAATCCGTGTGAATCTGTGCTGTCCTGTTTTTCAATCTTACCCTGTTGCTGTTAAACTACTGAATTTCTCCACGAGGATTAATAAATGTCCATCTTATCTTATCTTATAATTTCAATGTGTTGAAATGTCCACACTGCACACACGACACAATGTAATATTCATTGCACTGCGATAGACTGGCAACCTGTCCATGGAGCGCCCAACTGCAATCATTCACTTAATGTGTGCTACAACCCTGAACAGGATGAGCCGTTTAGAAAATGGATTGGAGCATATTATATTCCTACATTTAGTCTGGATGAGGAAAACAAAAAATAATTATAGATCCGGGAAATGCAGCGCCCTATAAACTCTCCAAACTGAATGTCATCACGGAGGAGACAAAGACAGACAAATGCCAGCCGGATTCCAGCTCGCTCTGTAATTGGAGTCCCAGAACGAGCGCCACACTAACCGAGCCTGTTATGAAGGCTGTAGCGAGACCTTGGGCTGCCGGTGAAATGCAATTTTACGTAATAAATTGACTGATTTGGCCATATGAAATACCTGATGGAAGTTTTCGAGATAATCTAGCCTTCCTCATTACGTGTAAAACCTGTCAGCGATGGCAAAACCGTTATGAAGGATGATCGGAATGGGGTGCAAACGAGAGACCAAGACACCGTTAAAGCTGGTGTTTACGACAACATTCAGTGCTGCAACTTGTGTTATTTTCAACAACTGACACATCTGGTGTAAATCAGGTTATTATGCTACCAGGTGACTGCTCAGGTTTTCATTTCATATTTGTTTGAGAGAAAAACTAGACAATATTTAATCCTTGAAAGTGTGTGAGTTTGAGGGTAAAGAATCAATAACTTCTAAGCTTTTTTTAAAATTGACAATAGACAATTTATATATATTTTGTGCAGAATAGAAGTAAGTGCTCGTTTGACATTCACCCATTCAATTCTCTTTCTCTTTAATTGCTCTCTGTGGCCTTCTGTTAAGCCTGCCTCATTATAAACATTCTCAGTCATACAGTAACACTTATTAGCCTTGATCCTTGAAGGAATTGGGCCTTGGAAGTCGTTGATATTAATGTTTCAGAAGGTTTGGGAACCTGAATACAACTTCAGTGAATAGAGCCGAGCATCATTTCTAAACACTTAAAGGTCCCCTATTATACTGTTTTTCATCAATATATTACAGGTCTCAGATATATACAGAACATGTCTCTGAAGTGTTTGGCTCCAAACACCAAACAGATCATTGCAGCATCCCATAATCCCCTCTGTTTCAGCCCTGTTTCAAAAGTGCTGATTCTCTGTCTGATACTTCAGATGAAAATAAGGAGCCACTCCCCACGCCCCTCTGAGAGATATTTGGTTAAAAAGAACACAGTGGTGCTCTAGGAGGAGATTCAGGTGATAAGGTGGTTGGTGATTGGCTAATGGTTACACAAGCCACAAAAATCGTTATGACATCACAAAGTGGCCAAATCTGATCAGCTCATTTTCAGACAGGTTTTTATATAAATGGATCAGGACAAAAAGAGAGAGAATCTTTTTTCCTGAAACTTTCAGA